TGCTAAAAACAAAGCTAACTTTATTCTGGTGTAAAAAGCCATGAAATCCATGCATAGGTTTTGCAATTCTAGGCACTCTGCATGAACTTTGGGAAGTCCCCTCACGTAAGGTGTACATGAAACACAAATGGACTTCTTGTTTAAACCGTGGTCCCATCCCCAAGATTTCTCATGACGTTTATGCTAATATCCCAAAATCTGAAATACGAAACACTTCTGGTCCGTCCCAAGCATTGTGGATAAGGGACACTCCCCCTGCACCAGCTGGGTAGCGTGCAGACAGTCACAGAAGACCCAGTTTGCACACACACAGACTGAGGATGACGACCGCTCGTCTTCATCAGTGGTTGAGAGATGTGACTGACGCAGGAAGGAGCCTCCAGGGCTCGCACTTCAGCATGTGAGCTGCAGTGGGGGTCACCCCTGCTCCAGAACAGGGGGCCCGGGGCCTGTTCTAAGCCTCCACCCCCACCACGACCCCAGCATCCTGTCTAGGACAGGCCTCGGGAAGAAGCTGCCCAGAAGATTTGCTCCTTGGTGAAATCTTCCTTTTGGCTGTGCCTGAGGCAGGTATGGAGGGAGGAACAGGAGCAGAAGGCGGAGGAGGCGGCGAGGAGGGCGACGCGGGGGGCATTACCCGTCCGGAGCTGCCCAGGCTGTCCTCGTCAGACTCGCACCTCCGGTTCCCATTCGAGTGGCCCTGGATAGAAGCAGAGACCGAGTGATCCAAACGGGGACCTTCCTCCCGGGGACTGGGACAGCGTGCTGACATGCCCCTCTGCCTTCCCAGGGAACCGCCCGGCCCTCCCCATGTGAGGCGGGGGCCCTCGTCTGCCACGCAGAAGGGGAGTTGGGTCACAGGCACGAGGGCAGCAATGGGGCCGCCCCAGCCTTCCTGTCCCTCGCCCTGTGTCAACAGAGGGAACTGACTCATGGGCACAGGATTTGGGCACACAGCCACCAGGGAAGTGGGGTCAGGCCCTTCCTCCAGGGCAAGCTCCCCCACATGTGTTTACCCACAGTCATCAGGCTGAGTCCAGAGGCCGCCCTGCAAGACTGGCTTTGGTGTGCAGGCTTGACTCTGGCATGTGGTGAAACCTCTAATCGGCCGTGGGGCTTGTCCTCACCAGGACGCTGCTGGGAGCGGACAGAGCCAGCCCTCCCACCTACATCAGTGCCAGGCCAGCCTATAACCCCACATGCTCTGCCCAGCAACCAAAGGCTGCAGACCCACTGGAAGATCTGTCTGCCGCTTTGAACCTTGTATCTGAGCCCCTTCCTTGTCCCTGACTGGTCCAATTATCTTGCTTTATCTCCTACCCCCCTCCCCCATTTACCACTGCTTGGGGTAATCTTGTTGACTAACTCATTGTGTTCTCAAGACCAACTCAATGCCCCCCCCCCCATCCAGCTTTTTATTCTCCTGGGGGAAAAATGAGGCCGTAAGGGACTCTGGCTTCATTTTCTGGCGGCGGCAGGGGTGGGGGGGGTCCTTACATGTTCCCGGGGCTCGGGGTCATCCAGTTCACTTCGCTTCTCACTAGGGTATCCGCTGTCCCCACTGTTCTCAGAGTCCTGTGGAGAGAAGACGATCCCAGGGTCCCAGCAGTGGTAGTGCTGCCACTTGGACATCCCAACATCCCAACCATTTTCTTTCTCTCCTTGTCCCATCACCTCACTGGACATCCTCTTCCTCCTTTCCCTGGCTGGGTGGAGGAGCGGGAGCAGGATAAAGTAGTGGCAAAGAGCTGGGGCTCTGGAGCCAGAATCCCTAGGCTCAGACCCCGGCATTGCAATGTGCTAGCTGTGACCATGCACAGTTGCTAGGCCTCTCTGAGCCTCAGTTCCTTAGCTATGGGGAATCGAGACAGCAGCTACATCAAAGTGCTAAGAGGATGAAATGAGTTTTCACCCTGTCTGTGGAGTGCAGCTTAAAATGAGCTTGTGCTGGGGCCAGTGTGGTGGTGCAGTGGGATAAGTTGCTACCTGAATGCTGGGCTGGTATCCCATATGAATGCTAGTTCAAGTCCCAGCTATTCCACTTCTGATCCAGTCCCCTGCTAGTGCACCTGGCAAAGCAGCAGAAGATGGCCCAAGTGCTTGTGTCCCTGCACCCCCAAGGAAGACCTGGATGGAGTTCCAGGCTCCTGGCTTTTGCCTGGCCCAGCCTTGGGCGTTGAAACCAGTAGACGGAAGATCTCTCCCTCTCTGTCTCTCCTCTTCTCTATACAACTCTGCCTTCCAAAAAGAAAAAGAGCTTGGTCTTTGAACAAGTGAGACATTTCTATTGGAGTCTGTTTATTTCACAAAGTCATCTGAATTTTTCATTTGATGCCATAATAGACACTATGTGAATGTAAATTTGATGCCTTCTGTTCCTGAGTCAACCTGAGGCCGCAGGAAATGAACTGTGTATGCGCCTGAGAGCGTCATGGCCGACTGAGCTACATGCTCCATGTCTGTGACCCAGCCCAGGGGCCCCACAGCCCAACAGTCCACACACAAGTGGTCAAAGCCAAGCCAGACCGAACCTAGCACGCACCATGAAGCCCCTCTCCCCTGACCATCTCTGGGAACTGCAGTGGACCCCAGCCTGCCCAGAAAAAAAGCTCTGTCTTGGGCTGAAGTTGGGAGTTCTCTGCATCCTCCCCACCAGTGCCACCCTGTGCCCTCCTGGCAGGGCTCAGAGAAGATCTGGCTGGGATGAAGCTTCATCCTGAGTTCCCACTGGGAGTAAGCCCCCTCCTCTCACCATCCCCCCTCAGGACTGCAGCCTCCCCCTGCTCCCTCCCTCTCCACTCACCCGCTGGTTGTCCAGATGGTCTTGTTCTCTGGCTGCCATGTTATCAAGGTCACTGAACACCGGCCAATCTGGGAAGAGAGAAACAGAGACAGTGTGCTGGTTCCACTGCTGGAACACTCACATGACCAACCTGTGGCCTGGAGTGGATTACACCTGCCACCAAGCCTCTATTTTGATTATTTCATTTTATTTTATTTGTTTTGACAGGCAGAGTTAGACAGTGAGAGAGAGAGACAGAGAGAAAGGTCTTCCTTCCATTGGTTCACCCCCTAAATGGCCACTATGGCCGGCGCTGCACCAATCCGAAGCCAGGAGTCAGGTGCTTCCTCCTAGTCTCCCATGCAAGTGCAGGGCCCAAGCACTTGGGCCATCCTCCACTGCCTTCCCAGGCCACAGCAGAGAGCTGGACTGGAAGAGGAGCAACCAGGACAGAACCGGCACCCCAACTGGGACTAGAACCCGGGGTGCCAGCGCCGCAGGCGGAGGATTAGCCTAGTGAGCTGCGGTGCTGGCCATTTTTTATTTTTTTTAATTTGAGAGATATACAGTGAGAGAGGAGAGAGAGAGAGAGCTCTCATTCATTGGTCTATTCCCTGAATGCCTGTGACAGATTGAACCAGGGCTGAAGTTGGGAGTCAGGAACTCGGTCCAGATCCCCTGTGTGGTTGAAAAGAACCCAATTATGTGAGTCATCACCACTGCCTCCCAGGGTCTGCATTAGAAAGATGCTGAAATCGAGGGCCGGAGTCAGGACTTGAACCCAGGCACTCCGATATGGGACGTGGAATCCTAACCAGAGGTTTAATCTATAGATCAAATGCCTGCCCCTAGTTTTCATTTTTAAAGAAAGGCACAACATGGAAGAAGAATGCTTTTGCACTGGGACCACAGCTCTTCCTGGAGAACTTATTCCAAGTCTGCCAGTTGCCAGTCACATGGTCCTGAGCAGGCAGCATTACATCTGTACCTCCTCGGGGCTGTCAGATGCAATTATACTTAAAAAAGGGGGGGGGGCATTATTTGAAACGCAGAGAGAGAGAGAGAGAGATTGATTTTCCATCTACTGGTTCACTCCCCAAATGACTGCAATGCCCGGGACTGGGCCAGGTCTAGGCCAGGAGCCTAGAACGCCATTTGGGTCTCCCACTTGGGTGGCAGGGGCCCATGGACTTGGACCATCTTCCGCTGCTTTCTCAGGCACATCAGCAGGAAGCTGGGTCAGAAGTGGAGCAGCCAGGACTTGAACCAGTACCTGTGTGGGATGCTGGCATTCACAGGCGGCAGCGTAGCCCACTGTACCACAACGCCAGCTCCGTGGTGCAGTTATCCTGGTGATGCATGTATCAGCCCGTGGACAAGATGCAGTTGTGAAGGAAGAAAAACAACTGCATGTTTGGGCCCAAGCAGCAGGCCTCAGAGGGCTCCAAATCAACCACCTGCTGCTGGGTCCCCAACCCCTCCCCGACCCCAAGCCCTTTCAAGTCGAATCTGTTTTTATATGGTTTTTGAAAATGCTTTTTACATTTTTAATATACATGGAAAATCGCATATACCCTAAATTTAACGTTAGCGTCTATAAACAGAGCTTTACTGGGCATGGGACGCCCATTCCTTTAAGTGTTGCCCACAGTTGCTTCTCATGATGCACATGCAAAGACCCAGGAGATGCCTGCAAAGCTTCACAAATTTACTCTCTGGTCCTTTTAAGAAAAAGACTGTTGAGGGGCTGGCACTGTGCCACTATAGGTGAAGTTGCCACCTGCATGCTGACATCCCATATAGGCACCCATTCAAGTCCTGGCTGCTCTAAATCTGACTCAGCTCTCTGCTGTGGCCTGGGACAGCAGTAGGAGATGGCCCAAGCCCTTAAGCCCCTGCACCCACGTGGGAGACCCGGAGGCGGCTCCTGGCTCCTGGCTTTGGATCAGCCCAGCTTCGACAGTTGCAGCCATGTGGGGATTGAACCAGCAGATGGAAGACCTCTCCTCTCTGTCTCTGTCTCTCTGTAACTGCCTTTCTAATCAATCTTTAAAAAAAAAAAAAAAAAAAGATTGTTGAAGGGCTTGTTCCAAAGGCCTTCCAGTGGAGATACTTAACAGGCATCCTCATGGGTGTTTGACCAAGTGGGTGAGATGCCTGCATCCCACACTGGACTGCCTGGTTGGTTGTCTTGTTTTTAAAGATTTATTTATTTACAGCCGGTGCTGTGGCTCAACAGGCCAATCCTCCGCCTAGCGGCGCCAGCACACCAGGTTCTAGTCCTAGTCAGGGCGCTGGATTCTGTTCTGGCTGCCCCTCTTCCAGGCCAGCTCTCTGCTGTGGCCAGGGAGTGCAGTGGAGGATGGCCCAAGTGCTTGGGCCCTGCACCCCATGGGAGACCAGGAGAAGCACCTGGCTCCTGGCTTTGGATCAGCGCGGTGCGCTGACCGCGGCAGCCACTGGAGGGTGAACCAATGGCAAAGGAAGACCTTTCTCTCTGTCTCTCTCTCTCTCTCTTACTGTCCACTCTGTCAAAAAAAAAAAAAAAATTTTATTTATTTACTTGATAGGCCTGGGGGGGGATCGATTGATCGATCTATCTATCTATCTATCTGCTGGTTCACTCCCCAAATGGCCACAAAATCCAGGCCTGGCCAGGCCAAAGCCAGGAGCTAGGAGCTTCTTCTGGGTCTCCCATGTGGATGGTAGGGGACCAAGCACATGGGCCAATTTCCCTTGCTTTCCCAGGCACAATAACAGGGAGCTGGATTGGACGCGGAGCAGCTGGAACATGAACCGGCGCCCATATGGGATGCTGGGGTCACAGGTGGCAGTTTAACCCACTGAGCCTCAACACTGGCTCCTGGAGAGCTGGGGTTTGATACTGGCTTTGGCTAGTGACTCCAGCTTCCTGCTGAGACATACTCTGGGAGACAGCAAAGATAGCTCAGGTAACTGGTGCCTTCCACTCATGTGGGAGACCTAGATGGAATTCCTGGCTCCCACTTTTGGGCCCTCCTGGAAGCCACTGCAAGTATTTGGGGAATGAATCAGCAGCTAGGAACTCACGCATGCTCTCTCTGCTTCTCAAATAAACACATAATTTTTAATAAATGAATAAAAGGTGTCTTTAACTTTTGACATTGACACCGTCCTCTCCTGCTGAGCCCGCTGCTTCACGGTCTTTTCCAGCTGAATAAGTGGCCACACCTTCCCTCCGTCCCCCAGGTCAAAGCCCTGGAGTCGGCCCTGCTTCCCTTTCTGGCTGACTTACATCCACAGCATCAGAAAACTCTGTCATTTCAAGTTCACAAATAATGACTCCATGTTTATCCTCTGACCTACTGATGTGCTGATAATAGATTTCCTGATGCTGAACACCCTCAGATACCTGAGAAAACCCTATCTGACTTTATTAAAAGGCTATTCTTTTAAGATATTACAAAAATGTTCCAAAATCTAGAACTTTCTGAGTGTCAGGTTGGCTCCAGAAGTTTGATTTCAGATTAGGGCTGCTCAATCACTACAGTCTATACAATTATTCTGAAATCCAGAAAAATCTGAAATCTGAGACACTTTTGGTCCCAAACACTTTGGATAGGGATACTCAACCTGCACAAGTTATTATGTGTAGTTTCTCTTTGTTAGTAATTCATCTGGAGTTTATGCACTACACTGGGGCCACTGTAATGGTGTGGCAGGTAACAGCCACTTGTGATGCCCACATCCCATATGGGCACTGGTTCGTGTCCCTGCTGCTCCACTTCCAATCCAGCTCCTTTGCTAATGGCCTGGGAAAAGCAGTGGAGGATGGCCCAAGTGTTTGGGTCCCTGCTACCCATGTGGGAGACCCAGATGAAACTCTTGGCTCTGGCCTGGCCCAGTGCTGGCCACTGTACCCATCTTGGGAGTGAACCAACAGATGGAAGATCTGTCTCTTCCTCTCTAACTCTGACTTTCAAAGTAAGTAAATAATTTCATTTATTTATTTATTTATTTTAAATGTAACTCTTTTTTTTATTTTAAATATTTATTTATTTTTTACTTGAGTCAGAGTTACACAGAGAGGAGAGGCAGAGAGAAAGAGAGAGAGATAGGTCTTCCATCCGATGGTTCATTCCCCTATTGGCAGCAACAGCCAGAACTGCAGAACGGCCGGAACTCCAGAAGCCAGGAGCCAGGAGCTTCTTCCGGGTCTCCCACGCAGGTCCAGGGGCCCAAGGACTTGGGCCATCTTCCTACTGCTTTCCCAGGCCATAACAGAGAGCTGGATTGGAAGTGGAGCAGCCAGGAGTAGAACCGGCACCCATATGGGATGCCAGCACTTCAGGCCAGGGTGTTAACCCACTGTGCCACAGCGCCGGCCCCGTAAATAATTTTTTTAAAAAGAATTTATCCACTATATCTCACAATATGCAAAAGTGAGGATGGGATACAGTTTTCTTGGGTTTAGTTTTCTGTGTTTTGTCAAATTTTGGTACAGGGGTTTTGCTAGTTTCATAAAACACACTGAAAAATGTTAACGAGCTTTCTACCACTGGGGTTGGTTTTTATAGCATTTGAATGAATTCTGTCTTAGGAGTGAACTCAGAGAATTGACCTGTTAGACCACCTGGGCCATGAACCTTTTTGGTTAGCACGACTGATATTCTTTTTTTATTTTTTTTAAAAGATTTTATTTATTTATTTGAGAGGTAGAGTTACAGAGAGTGAGAGGGAGAGCAGAGAGAAAGGTCTTCCTTCCATTGGCTCACTCCCCAAATGGCCGCTACGGCCGGAGCTATGACGATCCAAAGCCAGGAACCAGGTGCTTCCTCCTGGTCTCCCATGCGGGTGCAGGGCCCAAGCACTTGGGCCATCCTCCACTGCCCTCCTGGGCCACAGCAGAGAGCTGGATGGGAAGAGGGGCAGCTGGGACTAGAACCGGCACCCATATGGGATGCCGGTACCAGAGGAGGAGGATTAACCTACTATGCCACGGCGCCGGCCCCAGCATGACTGATATTCTAACACAAATAATAGCCAGTTTATCTCTGTTCTACCTGGTACATGCACCTTCCACTCACAGTGACCCAGGGCCCAAGCCATCACTCACGGAGGTGGTCCAGCTTCTGGCTGTGTGGTGTGGCTGAAGACGGGGAGGAAGGGAGAGAGTCGAAGGTCACGTCGCTCATGTTCTCATCTCCAGAGTTCTCTGACAGGCGAAGGAGCAGGGGGGGCCGGCTTCCAGATAGGGTCCTTACTCGAGGGCTCCCACATTTTTCCTCTGTGCCCCTTAAGATGGTCTTGGCTGATTGCTGGGGACAGTAACAGGGATACTCATGTCACATAGGAACCCTTTGAGGAACCCCCCTCTCACCCTGAAGCCCTTTCAGCCACAGCTCCCATACCTCCCTGTTTTAGGCTTGAGAACCTGCATTCCCAGACGCACGGACAACACTCTGCAGCTCTGAGCTGGAGAGTGCATCCCATTAAATGTTCAGATTCCCAAGCTGGTCTCTGCCAACACTGTCTAGTATCTGGCCCATGTAGTGGAGGCAGACTGGGCTCACGCCGGATCCAGCATGGGGCCCAGAGAGCCAGGTCTAAGTCCAGTCATTCATTATCACATCACCCACAAACACAACACGCACCTCCTCTTGCTGTCTCCACCTGCCTGTCCTCCACACTCTGGTCACAAACAGCCCGACCCCAAGCAGATAGCAACTCTATGGTGGGGACACTTGGGAGGGCCCTTCACACTGAGCTGGTGGACAGGTCAGGGCACAGATGGAACTGATCTCTGTCCATTAAGCCCTGCAGGGCCTGGCCACCGTCACACACGGAAGCAGGGCTTGCCGCTCAGGCGACACCAGGCACCCCCGGTCTGAGGGGCTCCACACCAGGTACCCACCAGCAGCTTGGTGTTCTGATTCACTGCATCCTGCTCCCGTGGCGAGAGGTCGAACGGAGCAAGGCCCATGCTCTTGCAAATCCGGTTGCAGGCATGAGAGTAGAAGAAGAGAGCCATTCCCCGGACACCTGTGGGCAGACAGGGGTGTGGGCAGCATTTGTTTTGCTTAGTGACAGGGGAGGGCGGCAAAGCCAGGCTCCATTAACCTGGCTGGAGAAGGCATAGAGTGTGCTGAGCAAGGGGTCAGTGCTGTGGCGTAGCATGTGTAAAGCCGCTGCCTGCAGTGCCGGCAGCCCATGAGTGGTGGTTTGAGTCCCCGCTGCTCTGCTTCTGATCCAGCTCTCTGCTAGTGCACCTGGGAGGGCTGCAGAGGATGGCCCAAGGTCTTGGGCCCCTGCATCCATGCGGGGGGCCTGGAAGAGGCTCTAGGCTCCTGGCTTCGGATCGGCCCAACTACAGCTGTTGTTGCCATTTGGGGAGTAAACCAGTGGATGGAAGACCTCTCTCTCTCTCTCTCTCTCTGCCTCCGCCTCTCTATAATTCTGGCTTTCAAATAAATAAATAAATCTTTAAAAAGGGCTGAGCTGGAAGGGGGGTCCAAAGAGCCCTGAGACTATGGGGGCGGAGTGGTCACCATAGAAACAGGCTGGCTTTCCCCACCTACCTAGGTTGCCATCTCCAAAGTCAGTGCCTGTCTCCGTGTGGATCTGTGGGTCAGTGTAGAGGTCACCCACACCCTGGATGTCCACCACAATCAGCTGATGGCCAGAACGCTCAAACGTGAAGTGGCTGAAGGCCTGTGAAGGGGGGACACGAAGAATAAGTTGCTTGTAAGGGACCAGGCTGTGGGCTGTGCAGCACTGGCCAGCTACTGAGCAGGGGGTTGCATGGCCCCAGCCCTGGCCACACTAGAGGGGGCTTTCTAACAAGGAGCAACTGGGAAGAGAAGACAAAGGGAGGAGACCTGACCGATGGGGCAGCCCTCAGAGCCCCTGTAGCCACTCTGGGTCTGCTAATAGAAGCTGGCAGGTGCACAGGTGACCAGTTACAGGATACCTGCTTGGCTTGCCCCAAAGGGCTCGAAGGTCCTCTGGGGGTTATGAGACTCTATACTTACAGGGACCTCTTCTCTAGGGGCTAAAAACCACCAGACTCCCACCAAGAAAGGCCGGGCTGGGTAAAGGGCGGAGGGCGGAGGGCGGAGGTGTCGGCCGAGCGAGCCGTGGGCCTCACCTGCGGTGTCAGGCGGATGTTGTCGTCGCGGACGAAGCCCGAGTTGGAGTTGTACTTGATGTACTTCCCCTCGATGTAGTGCTCCAGGTGGAAGAGGGGCTTCCCTGGCCTCTCCGTCAGCTCAATGATGCACATCTGCATGATGTCCACCTGGTGGGAAGGGAGGGCCCAGGAGGAGCTCGCCTCTGCCCGGGCTCACATCCTGCTTCCCTCACTTCCTAGCTCTCTCTGCCAGGCCCTGCTGAAGGTCCCCAGAGTCCGCTCTCCCCCTCTTCCTTTTAGAATTAAAACCCTGTCTCTGAGTTTGAGTAAGATATACAGGCAGGATGCATCACACAGGAATGACATTGCCCAGCTTCCCTTGCAGCTAGGTGTGGCCACGTGACCACAATGAGCCAATGGGAAGTGAGCAGCAGGAATGACATAACCGCAGCACGGCCCATAAGAGTGGACTCTGCCTGGGAGTCGGATCTGGCCACAGGGTCCACGGCAGCCATGGAGGGTGGCAGAGCAACAAGATGGAAGGAACCAGGTCTCTGGGTGACTTCAAGGGGATGAGGCCCCAGCCTACCTCACAATGTGGGTCTGGACCTGAGCACGAAAGAAACCACTTCACACAGCATGTATTTGAGGGTGTCAGTAACCCAGTCTCTGCCTTACGCTAATCCTGAGAAACTGGGCATCTTATCGCGCCTCTGTGCCTCAGTTTCCCTAACTATGAAAGAGGGAACTCGGACACAGTACAAGAATCAAACTGCAAACACTGGTTCTCCCTCTGTAATGGGGAGTTAGGGGGAACTTTGACATATTTTGCTGAATCTTGTTTATGAAGAATGTTTTACTTTGTAGATACAAGGAAATGTGTCAGTACTGTGTATGGTTTGTAAACCGTGGTATAGAAGACCTGTGGTACTCACTTGGGGACTCACAGCCCTTGTCTCCCTCAATGCCACCCACAACATAGGAGGAGCCAGCCTGGGCTCCCAGGGCAACAATCCAGGGAGCATGAAGCACCCAATATGCAGGGGACAGCTATAGAGGGTGATGGGTCCCACTGCTTCCCCAAACACAGCCTCAGCTCCCAGAACCAGCAGGGGGTGGGGAGGGGTTCTTCTCAGAGGGTCCCCACCTCAAACGCAGGCTCCATTCCTACAAGGACGCCTGCAGCTCAGGTTCACTGGACAAAGGGTGCAGACAGCCAGCACCACAGCACTGTTCCTGCACACCTGGATGCCTGGCCATGGGAAACCTGGTTGGAGTTCCAGGCTCCTGGCTTTGACTTGGCACTGCCCTGGCCATTTCAGCCTATATGGGAATGAACCAGGGGAGGGAAGATCTCTCTGTCTGTCACTCTACCTTTCCAATAATTAAAACAACAACAACAACAACAACCAAAAAACAAAAACAAAAACAAAAACAAAAACAAAAACAAAAACAAGGCCTGAGGTAGGAACAAGCTCAGGGAGGCCAGGCCAGGGTGCAGCAGAGTACTGAGGAGGACACAGCTTCCTGTGCCCACCCCAAGGGTGCTTAATCAAGGGTCCTACACACCAGGACTCAATAAATTCTGCTGGTTGCCTGGAAGGTGTGGCCATCCTGAGGCACCCAGGAATTAGCACCTTGCACCTGGTAGGTGCTCCAACAGTGGGAGAGCTGAGCTGTGAATTCAGAGAGGACAGAGGCATGAAGCAACTTCTCCCTGCTGTCCACAGGCAAGCAGAAATTCTGCTGGGCCTCCGGCACTGGACACCCCTAGGCTCAATGACAGGAGCCAAGCTGGCAGGGGTGTTGGGAAGCCTGGAGCCCTGGCTCCAGCCCTGCTGGGATGGGCAGATCACTCAATCTCTCTGAGCCCCAGGTTCCCCAGGGAGGGAATATGGCATCCATTCCTCACTCCTGGTTTTTCTTAGGAGCCATCTCTTCCCCAGCCTCAGTCTATGGGGTGTGTATGGAATGCCCTATATTCCTGGCTCTAAAGGTGGGCACGCAGCCCAGGCCTGTCCAATCTGCATAGTCCCTCCCCCTGGCAATTGTATTTGGCTCAGCGATAGGCATCTGACCCAGTCCAAACCAAGGAAACCAGTTCTGAGACTCTTCACGGAACTTCTGGGAAAACAAGCGCTGTCCTTCCAACAAAGCTGCAGGACCCTTGAAAACAGGAAGGGAGCCTGCAGCACCCAGGGGCTGCTTAGAATGACACCGACACAGGACATACCGATCCAGGCCAGAGATGGAGGAAGATTTCTGGCAACCTCAGCTGGGTCCTGGAGCCAGCCAGGCCAGTGGCCAACACAACTTTTCGGTTACATGAAACAATTCTCTTTCTGGATTAAGCCAGTGTGAGTGAATTTCTTCATTTGCAATTAAAACTCCTAGTAGGACCCATCTATATTTAGGGATTAAAAAAACTAGAGTTCAGAGCTCTGATCTGGGGAATGAACAAGTCTCCCTGATGGGGCACCTTGCCTGTTGTGCTCAATCGGTGAATGTCATCAACTGGAAGAAGGTGGCGACCAGCACCACTGCTCCTGCTGTTCCTGGTATGGGAAGCTGGTGGGCAGGGGAGCCACGCACCTGCTTGGGGGGCTTGTGCCGATTATATTCCTCCCCCCAGAGCTTGGCCTCCATCTGTAGACGCACATCCTCAAAATACACGTCCCTGTCCACGGACTCGATGTAGCGCTTGGCCACGTAGTTGGAAGCCCCTTTCCACTGCTGGGCGTGCAGGAAGTTAGAGAGCTTCTTCCTGTGGGGAGAAGCAGCAGAGGGTCTGGCCGGAGGCAGGAAAGAGATGGCAAGAGGCGGGAGGGGCTTCCTTGCTCCACTGTAGCCTTCAAAGAGCTGGGAAGAGGGCCAGAGGTCATTGTTGAAGGTCATTCTGTCCCACTTCCCTTGACCTCCAAACAGCACAGCAGAGGTTACTGAGATACCCTCCTCTTTCTGAGCCCCATTATGTGACCCAAGGGAACCCAATTGGAGAATGAACTTGAACTACCAGAAGGCCAAGGTCACTGTTTCCAACCATTGACCCAAAATGTCCCAGTGCCCCTGCTCTTAGGAGGCTGGGGCAGTCTGAGCAGAGACCAAGTGCAGGGCAGTCACTTACGTCCTGAAGCATTCCCTCATTGCTCCTCGGCCGAAGGGCTGAAAGACAGTGCACAGAGTTATCAGTCCCATGCCCCGCCCATGAGTGACCTTGAGTGGGATGGGGGGTGTTCCCCTTGGACACCATCCACCAAATGGGTGCCCTGGACCTCACGTCAAACCCCTGGGCTGTCTTTCCCTTCTGTGACCCACACCAAAGCTGGATAGGCCCTATAGCCTAAAGCTCTGGGATGGCAAGGGACCACCCCACTCTCCCACCCTAGCTGAGGGGAAGATCCCACAGTAGGCAGGGACCACGCATGTCAGAGGATGCAGCCCTGTCTGTAACAGAGAACAAGTGGAAACAACCTAAATGTCCACGGACAATGTATCAATCAACCCAGTCTACTCATTCAGTGACAGCCTACACAGCAGTGAGAGCAAACGCCAAGGGTGGGCCAGAGAGGCCAGACTTCAGTCTAGAGGGTACGATGCCCACCTCCCATACTGGAACACCCGGGTGTGACACACGGCTCCAGCTTTCAGCTAGTGTTGCTAGTGCACATCGTGGGGGGCAGTGGTGATGGCCCAAGTGACTGCGTTGTCGCCACCCGTGTGGGACACACAGATTGAATTCCCAGCTCCTGGCTTTGGCCCAGCCCTGGCTGTTGTAGGCATTTGGGGAGTGCACCTGCGGTTGGGAGGTCCTCCTACCCCACAAATAAATTTTTAAAACCACACATGTTGTAGGGCTCCTTTAAATGAATACAGAAGCAGGCGAAGTTGATCCAGGGCACGGGACTCTCAGCGGTGCTGACCCTGGCGGGGCGGGGGGGGGGGGGGGAGTGGTGCCCGAGAGGGGCTCCTGGGGGCACTGTTTGTGTTGTGTTTCTCGAGCTGGGTGCTGGTAACACCACGTGATCACTGTGGAAGCTCAGCAAGCTGTAAGCTTTTCTGTGGGCCCATTCCACTAAAAACCTTTCACAAAACAATCCTTACCCTCGCCGTGCAGGAACTACTCATTTTTCAATGTTTTTCTGTTTTTTTTTTTTTTTTCCCCAAAAAGCTCATTGCAACTCACTGAATTAACAACTCACTAACAGAGAGTAATCTGCAATGTTTATTTTTTTTTAAGATTTATTTATTTATTTGAAAGTCAGAGTTACACAGAGAGAGGGAGGCAGAGAAAGAAAGAGAGAGAGGTCTTCCATCCACTGGTTCACTCCCCAATTGACCTCAATGGCCAGTGCTGTGTCAATCCGAAGCCAGGAGCCAGGAGCTTCTTCTGGGTTTCCCACACAGGTGCAGGGGCCCAAGGACTTGGGCCATCTTCTACATCTTTCCCAGGCCACAGCAGAGAGCTGGATGGGAAATGGAGCAGCCAGGTCTAGAACTGGTGCCCATATGGGATGCTGGTGCTTCAGGCCAGGGCGTTAATCTGCTGCACCACCCTCTGCAATGTTTAAAAGCTGATCTATATACTCATGATTTTCCACAAGACTGCTGAGAACAGTCTTGTCTAGACAGGCAAATCTACAGAAATAGAAAGTGACACAGTGGGCAGGCATTTGGTAGAGTAGTTACCATGTTGCTTGGGACGCCTGCATCCCATATCAGAATGCAGGTTCAAGTCTCAGCTGATCCGTTTCTGACCCAACTCTCTGCTAATACACTTGGGAGGCATCTGATGATAGCCCAAGTACTTGGGTCCCTGCCACCCACATGGGGGATTCAGATGGAGATTCTGCCTCCTGGCTCTGGCCTGGCCTAGTCCTAGCTATCGTGGACTTCTGGGGAGTGAACCAGTGGACAGAGATCTCTCTGTGTGTTTCTCTCTGCGTCTTTCAAATACAATTAAAATAAATAATAGAGGCAAGCATCATGGCACCACAAGTTAAGCCTTCGCCTGTGACGGCGGCATCCCATATGGACATCGGTTCGAGATCTGGCTGCTACACTTCTGATCCAGCTCCCTGTTAATGCACCTAGAAAAGCAGTTGGGATGGCCCAAGTGCTTGGGTCTCTGCACCCATGTGTGCAGCTCGGAAGAAGCTCCTGGCTTCTCGTTTCAGCCTGATCCAGCCCTGGCCATTGAGGCCATCTGGGTACTGAACCAGCATATGGAAGATCTTTCTCTCTCTCTGTGTAACTCTACCTTTCAAATAAATAAATAAATTCTTTAAAATAAATCAATAACATTTTTTAGAAATAAAGAAAATAACACAGGTAGTGACCATGGGCTGGGGAGATGATGGACTGGGGGAGTGACTCCTGGGCACAGGATTCACCCGGGGAGGGTCAAAATGTTCTGTGAACTGCTTGTGGTGATGGCCGAAAAACTCCGTGAATAGATTACAATCCACTGAACTACACACTTTCAATGGATGACCTGCATGGTATGTGAATTACAGCTCAATAAAGTTGTTAGAAAAATACAACAAATAAACAACATGAGTTCCCAAAGTTAAAATAATAAAGTGGAGGGGAGAGTCCAGGGACTGAAGTCAGGCCTGTCGCCCTGAGGCCCAGGGCCCTGCTCACCTGAGAGGCCATCTTGATCAGAACTTCATCTTGGAGCCACTCCCCAGTGACAGCGTTGTACCTGCAGAGATGAGAGTAACACGACCCAGTCCTTCTGGGCTCCCTACCCTGCCTGACCTCTCGGACTGGGTTACAGACACCTCCCCTCCCCCTCCAGTTCCTCTCTTTCAGTGCCTCCCCGGCACTCACAGCTCTGCCATCTGTGGGCTTGCTCCTCGTCTGGCTCCCCCCAGGCCTGAAACTCCATGACAGCAGCCCCAGGTCTGTCTCATTCATCACCAGGCCTGGCACATGCGGATGCTTAATGCACACACGTGGGTAAATGACTGAACGCCCCACATCCTAGTTCTAACTGGTCTACCTCCACAAATGGTGCGACCCCGGGAGGGAGGTGGCAGTACCCTCAAAATCTCACCAGACACCTGTGCAAGGTCCAGCCCGGGTACTGGACTCATCTCCCAAGAAGTAACAACTATCCCAGGGCAGGCCAGGGTTGGGGGGGGGTCTTCTCCCTGAGTCAGCCAGGAAAGGAGCCGCCGCGTGCATGCTCACAGCAGACAGGGATGGGAAGGTTCTGGAACAGTCCCATCTCTCTGCTCCCCTAGAACAAATCTGCCCCCTGGGCCTGCCTGGACCTCAAACAGGTTTGCCGGGTGCAAAAGCTCTTCAGCCCAGGGAATCCCCAGCGCCTAGAACCTTCCCTGGAGCTGAGTTGTTCTTAGCTCTCCTCTCCTGGCCCACCTCTCAGCTGGGACAAATTCCAGAACATTCTCAGCCCCAGGTGTTGTTGGAGATGAGGAAAATCAGGCAGGTCGGGGCCGGCGCTGTGGCGCAGCGGGTTAACGCCCTGGCCTGAAGCGCCAGCATCCCACATGGGTGCCGGTTTGAATCCCGGCTGCTCCACTTCCGATCTAGCTCCCTGCTATGGCCTGGGAAAGCAGTGGAGGATGGCCCAAGTCCTTGGGTCCCTGCACCCATGTGGGAGACCTGGAGGAAGCTCCTGGCTCCTGGCTCCTGGCTTCGGATCGGTGCAGCTCTGGCCATTGCGGCCATCTGGGGAGTGAACCAGTGGATGGAAGACCTCGCTCTCTTTCTCTGCCTCTCTTCTCTCTGTGGAGCTCTGACTTTCAAATGAATAAATAAATCTTAAAACAACAACAACAAAAAAAACAGGCAGGTGACCTCCCCTGGAACAGAGGGAGGAAGCTCTTTGGAGCTGTGTGTATACCTGCCTACAACCAGCCAAGGGCAAGTTCTGTGCCCAGCAAAAAAGAACTATGATTGCTACTGTTACTAGACAGAGACTAAGGGAAGGAGGTGTGCAGAGCTCATGGAGTGCTCCCCCTGCATGCTAGGAGCTTAAACAGACCACTTCACTCAACCTCCCCAGCAGCCCCATGAGGTAGCGGCAATTCTTGTGCCCGTTTTCCAGATGGGGAAACTGAGGCCTCACTGAGGTGAAGTATCTTGCTCAAGAACCACATAGGTCAGTTTAAATAAGAACTGTGCTCTTAACCAGCCTGGGTCCCACACACAGGAAGAGGAAATCTCCCCATAAAGGGCCAGTAAGCTGCACGAGAGGTCTTTAAAAACTGGAGAAGGAAAAGAAAAGGAAGGCTCTAATTTAGAAATCTCAGGGGATCCCAGCCTCCTGCCACTGGCAGCCAGAGCAATTGGAGTCAGCCACTTTGGGTAGCAAATAAGCAGACTGGCCTGGTCTGAGCTCCCAGCTGAGCCTGGGGACACACAGAGCCAGTCTGACATATGGATCCTGTTTTCCCAGACTGGCGGTCCCTGGGGCCTACTTGTGTGGCCGAGTGTCGTCCCTAGAAGCCATGTGTCACCAGCTAGCTGCCACTGTGCTCTTGAGCAGTGTGGAAAGGAACAGAGCCCACACCCTGCCCTCCTGGGACCCCCACAACGCTGACCTTGGCTGCGGGGAACAGACCACTGACCCTGACAGTAGGTGGGCCACCAGGAGCAGGATTGGGACTCTAAAGCCATTTTCTTGAGAGATGGGAGTAGGAACACACTGCAGAAACACACTGCGAGGGGTGGGGGGTTGGGGGCAAGTGTTTGCCACATAGTTAGGATGCTTAAGGGGGTGGCACTGTGGCCCAGTGGGTTCGTCTACGCCTGCGATGGGAACATCCCATAAGGGTACTGGCTCAAGTCCTGGCTGCTCCATTTCCAATCCAGCTCCCTGCTAAGGCACCTGAGAAAGCAGCAGATGGCTCGAGTGCTCGGGCCCCTGCCACCCACATAGCAGACTTGGATGAAGTTCCAGGCTCCTGTCTTTGGCCTGGTCCAGTTGGGGCCATTGCAGCCATTTAGGGAGTGAACCTGAGGATGGATGATCTCTCTTCTACCTCTCCCTCCCTCTTTCTGTCACTCTGTCTTTCAAATAAATAAATCTTTTTTCTTTTGTTTTTTAAAGATGCTGCTTAAGACACATTCCACACGAGGGTATCTAGGTTTAAGTCCTGACTCTGCTTCTGATCCCAGCTTCCTGCTAATGTGCACCCTGGGAGGCAGCAGGTGACGGCTCAAGTAGCTGGGTCCCTGCCACCCTCATAGGAGACCCGACTGCGGTTTAGACTCCCAGCTTCTTCCTGGCCTAGCCCCAGCTGTGGGCATTTGGGGAGTGAACCAGCAGATGGAAGAGCTCTGTCTCTGTCTATTAAATAATAATTTAAAGAAAGAAGGAAACAAAGACAGACAGACAGAGAGATGGAGTCCTCCATCCCCTACAGCTCAGAGGGCCAATGAGTTGCATGCAAAAGTGATGGCATTTCCTGCGCCATAACATTGAAAAGCAGCGGCACAACCTCCCTGCTCTGTCCCTCTCTTGGGAAGCAGTGGTGGGGCCTTGTGTTGAGACGTTGGAGCCCCAGATGGAAGCAGCCACCTGAGCGGGGTACACCCTTCCTGCACAAAGTACCCAGGGCGTCTGCTCCTGTACCACAACTCATCCTGTCTCACCCGCTGTGTGCCTCGGGGGCTCCCCAAAGGGTTGACTGAGATGATACTTACTGGCTTCAGCATGCACACTCAAGCAGTGGCTGCTGGGCTTATAGACATCCCAATCCCCTATCCCCAAATGCTTGGGACTACAAGTGTTCCAGATTTTAGACTGATCTGGATTACAGAATATGTGCGTAGACTTCCCTGGCTGAACACATCTAATTCAAAAATCTGAATTCTGAAATGCTCCACTATCTGAAACGTTTAGAGTGGCAAATGTGCAATCTAACAGTTCTGGATTCTGGAACATTTCTGATTTGGGGCTTAGAGATGCTCACACTGTACCCCTCCCTCGTCCTTGACCCCCAAGGGAACTTAGTCCTCACGACTGCCCAGAAGCAGGACCCACACCTCCAGAGCCCCCCGAAGCCCCTGCTGAGCTGCTGACCTGTGCCGCGTGGCACATTCTGTGGCAATGTCCTCCAGGTGGAACTCAGCCCAGGGGTCCGGCATGTGCTTGGCCTTCTCGATCGCGTGCTTCCAGGCTTCCTGCAGAAAGCAAAGGGAAATGTGAGGCCCAGACCGGGGCCTTGGGAACAGCGCAGCCCAGCCTGTTCCCGCCCTGCTGCTTCCCCTGGGGAGGCAGAGACTCCATGGACTCCATAATCCACAGCTCCCCAGGGACCCTCTTTGCTCTCAGGGGACACAGCCTTCCTGTGGGTAGAAGTGACCTAGCTTAACTACACCTCACTTTGTAATCAAAGTGAGAATGAAAACCAGACACCACTCTCCCTGCCCCTCCACCCCACCCTTAGATCCCAAACATCTTCATGAGTGTGGACGTTTTATCAAGTGTCGCCCAGGATGTGGGAAATCAGGTATCCTCAGTGCGTACGAACCTTCTCTAAAAGGCGACCGGGCAACACGCTGAAATGAGAAAAGGGGTGGGTACTGTGATGCCACAGGTTAAGCCACCACTTGGGACACCCACCTCCTATGTCAGATTGCCTAGGGTTGACTCCCACCTTTATCTCCCACCCTACTTCCTGTAATGTGCCTGGGAGGCAGCAGATAAAGACCATTCCAGAGTCAGTGAGTCCAGAACTCCTTTCCAGGCCAGAGTCCTCCGCCACAGGGAAGAGGCTAGATGGGGGACTGGACACTGTCTGGGTGTAGCAGGCCCACAGCAGCAGCTCTGAGATAGGAGGGAGCTCATGGGACGGCAAACCCAGACCTCCCCAGTCTCCCACTGGCCTCCCTCAGCCACCCCAGCCAGCGTCAATGGGAGTCCAGCTCGCCTGGACCCTTCACTGGGATCCTGCACAAGATCAGGCAGGATCTGCACAGGCAGAGGAGCTGGGCCTTCAAGACAGACTCAAGGCCCAAAACTCCCTCACTGGGGCCATTTACTCTCTGCAAAATGCGAAGAAATGTTTCCTTCCGATTTGAAAGCCAGTATAGGCTCAGTGAAAAAACCTGGAACATACAGAAGACAAAGCAAAGTCAAATCCACCACGTGCCGTCCATCCAGAGCAACTACTGCCAATGACCTGGACTAGTTCTTTTCCAGACGGGATTTGTATCACAGGATCAGAATCACATTTTTAGAAAGAGGAAGACTTCAAAAAGTTCATGGAGGGTGGGCCTTTGGCCGTGGTTAAGCTACCACTTGGGACTCCTATATCCCAACTCTGATTCCAGTTCCAGCTTCCTGCCTAAGCACACCCTGAGAGGCAGCAGGGGATGGTTCAAGTACCTGGGCTCCTGCTATCCAAGTGGGAGATCAGGATTGAGTTCCCGGTTCCCGGCTTTGGCCTGGCCCAGCCCCAGCTGTTGTGAGCACTTAGGGAGTGAAACAGTAGAAGAAAGACCTTTCTTTCTTTCTGCATCTCAAAAAATGAATAAATTATAAAATCAGGGGCTAGCACTGTAGTGTAGCAGGTACAGCCACTGCCTGCAGCGCAGGCATCCCATATGGACACTGGTACAAGTCCCAGCTGGCTATTCCTCTTCCAATCCAGGTCTCTGTTATGGCCTGAGAAAGCAGCAGAAAATGGCCCAAGTGCTTGGGTTCCTGCACACACGTGAGAAACCCGGAGAAAGCTCCTGGCTCTGGCTTCAGATCAGCCCAGCTCCAGCCTTTGTGGCCATTTGGGGAGTGAACCAGCAGATGGAAGACCTCTCTCTATCACCCTCTCTCTCTCTCTCTGTAATTCTACCTATCAAATAAATAAATCTTTTTTAAAAGTTAAAATAAGTATTTTAAAAACTTCATGAAGGGGCCAGTGCTGTGGCATGGTGAGGAATCCACTGCCTGCAGTGCCAGCATCCCTCATGGGTGCCGGTTCGAGTCCCAGCTGCTCCACTTCCCTTCCAGCTCTCTGCTATGGCCTGGGAAAGCAGTAAGAGATGCCCGAAGTGCTTGGGCCTTGTACCTGCATGGGAAGATCTGGAGGAAGCGCCTGGCTCCTGGCTTCTGGCTTCCGATCAGCGCAGCTCCAGCGCAGCAGCCAACTGGCAAGTGAACCAGCTGATGGAAAACCTCTCTCTCTGCCTCTCCTTCTCTCTATGTAACTCTGACTTTCAAATAAATTAATAAATCTTTAAAAAAAAAATCTGGATAGGAAGCAGAAGAGCCGAGACTCAAACCAGCACTCAGATATGGGACGCCAGCACCCCCAGCACAGGCTTAACCTGCTGTGTCACAATGCCTGCTCTCTCCAAACTGAGTACCTCTGTAACATCTACATCCTTTTAAGACAGGGGTCAGTGAAACTTCCTACTTTATTTAGTGATCATGATTTTTCCCCTTTGATCCCAAAAGTATGGTGTGCTTCATGTTAAAACTGCATGCCCTACAGAATTCTGAATTAGGAAGTGGGAGTCTACCCTAACTGCCTTCCTCCACTGCAGCCGATAGCTGACGTATTTTTCGAGTGTCTGCTCTTTGTTAACAGGCATTTATATATTTTTTTCTCTTACTTTAATGCAGGGAGACAGAGAAATAAAAACATGAGCGTGCGGCTTCCCACCTGCTGGTTCACGCCCTACTTGCACCTGGGAAGGCAACTGATGATGGCCCAGGTACTTAGGCCCCTGCCACTCACATGGGAGACCCAGATGTAGTTCCTGGCTCCTGGCTTCAGTCTGATCCAGCCACGGCAACTGCAACCATTTGGGAAATTAAACAGTAGATCAAAGATCCCCCCCCCACCCCGCCCCGTCTCTTCCTCCTTCTCTGTTGCTCTGCCTTTCAAATAAATTAATTAAATATATTTAAAAGCACTCAATCACTTAAGCCATTACCTGTTGCCTCTCAGAGTCTGTATGGGCAGGAAGCTAGAGTCAGAAGCCAGAGCTGGGAAGCAAACCCAGACACTCCCATGTGGGACGTGGGAATCTTAACCACGAGGCTAAATACCGGCTCCACAAACGCATATTTATAAGCAATGAGACTATGCCACAAATTCAGCTGGCTTCATTTCCTTCCCAGGAATTTTATATATATATAGTATAAATGTACCCTAAAGTATTTGTCCAACCTCCTGCTGATGTATATTGGATCGTCTCCAACATTTCTGGATACAAACTGTGCCAAAGAAACATCCTCATGTCTGTATCATTGCACATTCTTGCAAGATCTCAGTGGGACCTTTTTTGGGAAAATGTAATTGCATTTTAAACTCTAGAAGTTGTCAAAAGAAATTCTCCTAAGCTACAAGAGACAGCAAATAAATCACTTAAATTCTGTAACAACACTACATCAAGTCATTGTGAAATCTGCAAGTTAGTTGCAACCTGCTTTAACAGTTGTTTGTAATGATCCACCTTTTGAGCTTATCAGTACTGACAAGTTAGTGTTAGACCCTGAGCTTGTCGCTGACTTTTCCCTGTTGTAAATAATCCCACAGCAGATACACTGACAGCCCAAACACTTCCTGAAGTTCCAGCCTTGGACTTTAGTGCCAGTTCCCCTTATCCCCAAGCGGCTGTGAATGACAGGGACAGTGTTGGCACCTGCTTGTCAGGAGGCCTGCAGAGAAAGGAGTCACAGGCAGCTCCTCTGAGCATGCCTACACAGGTGCTCGGTTCCCTGTCTGGGGATACCTGGCTCTCTTGACTGCACGTCCCCACCACTCCCTGAGCCACCAGGATTGTCAACAGAAATCAGCTCTTGGCCAGGCGCCCCTGCACCAGCCCAGGAAAGAGTCAAGGAAGAAAGCACTGGGATTTCAGAATTACAGGGTGTGTATTTCACAGGGTTAAGATTACATTGTTTCCAAAGTCAGAAAAGACTAATGCCAGGTCTTAGTGGTAACAACTGGGTTTAACACAATTGACTTTATTTCTTAATTAACTAATTATTTATTTGAGAGACAGATAAGACAAAGAGCTCCCCTCCTCTGGTTCACTCCCCAAGTGCCCACAATGATCAGAGCTGGGTTGAAGCTAGAAGCCAGACACTGAATCCAGGTCTCCCGTGTGGATGGCAGGCTGGAAGCTGGAATCAGGACACAAATGAGGATGACAAAGGTTTTGGCTTCTGAGTGTCAACTTTTTCTGTGATCCCTGTACCTGCAACAGTGGCTGCCTGAGCTGAAAATTGCTGCTGTAAATATTTTATCATCAGGTCAGGAAAAGTAAGCTGATGGAAACCGGGAAGTGGATCCTCTTGGACCCTAGAGGAGTGCGGAGGAGGTACTAGCACTTTTTTTTTTTTTAATTTGACAGAGTTAGACAGTGAGAGAGACAGAGAGAAAGGTCTTCCTTCCATTGGTTCACCCTCCAAATGGCCACTACGGCTGGCGCACTGCGCTGATCCGAAACCAGGAGCCAGGTGCTTCCTCCTGGTCTCCCATTTGGGTGCAGGGCCCAAGCACTTGGGCCATCCTCCACTGCCTTCCTGGGCCACAGCAGAGAGCTGGACTGGAACAGGAGCAGCCAGGACTAGAACCCAGCGCCCATATGGGATGCCGGTGCCATAGGCAGAGGATTAGCCAAGTGAGCCGCGGCGCTGGCCCTGGTACCCGCACCTTTGAGAGCCATCTGGCAGGGGCTGGGAACCTTGTCCTGCACTAACTGTGACCCAGCCATTCCCATCACCTACCCAGCTGTGGTTTGGCTATGGGTTGCTTCCCAGAGGTTCATATACTAGAGGGCTGCTTCCCAGTGTAGGCTGTGAAAGGTGTGGACTTTCAGTGGTAGGGCCCAGGGGGAAGAAATTAGATCATGGGGGCACCACCCTCATGAATGGGTCCCGACCAGCGTTCATCGGGATGCCGGTGACGAAGCAGGCAACCTGCTGAGCCATGACGCCAGCCTGGACACACGCTTTTCTGCACACACGGGCTTCCTTTCAGTATTTACACCATGAGTTGACACAGAATGACACTTCTGCCAGAAGCCACACCGTGCTCTTGCACCTCCTGAATAGTAAGTGAATAAACTTTTCTTCATAAATCACCCAGCCTCTGATACATCATTATAGCAACAGGAAACAGGCTAACTGAGCCAGTGTGTGGTACAGTGGGATAAGTGGCCCCTTGGGA